GAATTTTAGAAACTGATGCAAGAGTATACTAGATTATTTGAAACTTTTCATAGGCTGCAACTAAATAGAGCTCATGATCATAAAATACCATCAAGGATGAAACTCAAACAATTTGAATTAGACCATATAGGTGTTTTACTGTTCAAAAGGGAAAAATAGAAAAATGATCACTAATATGCTAGCTTCTAGTATTATTAGACATAATAGCAATTTTTTCTCTTCTTCGATTGTTATAGTAAAGAAAAAAAGATGGATATTGGAGGTTGTGTGTCGATTAAAGACAACTAAATTGACTTATTGTAAAGGATAAATTTTCTATTCCTTTAGTAGAAGAGCTATTGGATGAATTAAATGGGGCTACAATCTTTTCCAAACTAGACTTAAAATCTGTCTATCATCATATTAGGATGAATGAAGCAAACATTTATAAAATAGCCCTTTAAACTCATGATGGACACTATGAGTTCTTGGTTTTGCCCTAAGGTCTCACCAACGCTCCTCCAACCTTTCAAAGTCTTATGAATGATATCTTTAGATCATATCTAAAAAGGTTTGTTTTAGTTTTCTTTGATGATATCTTAATATATATTTTTTAATATATATTTTTTAATATAGTTAGTTCATTTAGTTCATTCGATTTTTAAAACAAAAAAACCTCTACCAATTCTTATATTTTTTAAAAATTGGAACGTATTAGATTTAACCAAATAGAAAACTCTTCAGATATGAGTCGTTTTATCATACTTACATCAATTAATTCTTTTTTCTTACAAAACTTATCTAATTTAAAAAATATTAAAAAAAAAAACAAAAGAAATGATGGGAAAAAAGAAAAAAAGAAAACCAAATACAAATTGCACATAGATTTATTAAGTTAAAGTATCAAATAATAATTTTATTAATATGATATATGTATATATATAAATATAAAATTAAATGAATAATAAAACATATATTTATATATATCAAGACAACACGAAACATCATAAACTTGTATCCGACTTTATCTCAATTTTTGAAAAAAACCAATCGATTGTTCTTAAATTAAAAAAAATACATCTATTAGATCTAAACAAATTAAAATTTATTAGATATAGATTTTTTCATTATACATATCTTTATTGAAATTTTTATTCAAAAATCTATTTACCAGTTTCTTTTGATGTAAAATTATCTAATTAAAAAAAAAAAAACAAAAAAAAGTTAAAAAATAAAGAAATATGCTGCCACGTGTACACATTCATCTTTTTTATCATATCTAATTTATAAGAAAAAAAAAAAAAGAAAGGAAGAAAAGAACTTACAATGGGGAAAATGAAAAGTTAAAAAAAAAAAAGAAAAAGGAAAGCTGAGTTATCAAGTGATATAAGTTATAATGAGCTATTTTTGAAAATTTTATATCATGAACTTTCACAAACTAGGAAAAGATTAAAAAAAAAAGACTTAAAAAAGAAAAAATTAAATTCGAATTTGACATCAACACCTTTGCTAATATTTTTTTTTTCTAAATTATCAAATTTAAAAAAATAACAAAATAAATATATATTTTAAAATAATAATATCAAATAAACCTTATATTCAAGAAATTTTAAAATTTTAAAAATAATTATTAAATATTTAAAAAGGTAAATAGGAAAAAATAAAAAGAAAGTAAAAATAAAAAATCAAATGACTGATGCATGGCATACCTTTGAAATTAATTGTCTCATAGAAAAAATTAAAATCTAACAAATTATTTATTAAATATATAAAAATAAAAGAAAGGAAATTTTGAAAAATATACAAATATGTGGCATATCTTTGATATTAAATGATACTCACACAAAAATAAAATATAATCTAAAAAATATTTATTATATATATTTAAAAAAGAAAAAGTAAAAATGGGTAAAAGTGGAAAGGAAAAAATGAAAAGTTTGATATAAATGAATCCTACATAAAAAGATTATTAAATTAAGATATCAAATAATAATTTTTTTAATATAATTTATCTAATTTAACAAATTTATCTAATTTATAAAAAGGACAACAAACGACAAAAATAAAAAATAAGGTGACACCTTGAATTAGGATAAAACAAAAGTAAAAATAAAAAAGTTTTATATAATTAATGGATTATATCTTAATTATATATAAATATAACATTTTATTAAATTAAGATACTACATAATAATTTTATTAATATAATACACATATAATATAGTTATATACATACATACTTAAAGTAAGATAAAAGACTCTCGCCGGGTTCAACCCAACTTTGATTTAAAAAAAAAACTCGATTAGATCTTTATTTTTTCTTAAATTCACACATATTGGATCATGCCAAATAAAAACTTATATGATATGAATTATTTAATTATCCTTACATCTATTACTTTTTTTCTTACAAAATTTCTCTAATTAAATAAATTCATTTTTTTAAAAAAGCAACAAAAAAAATCGAATGGAACAATAGGTGGATTTATTAAATTAAGATATTAATAATAATTTTATTAATATAATATATATAAATATAAATATAATAATAAAATATATATTTATATATAAACTAACGAAATGAAACATTTTAAATTTGTGTTTGATTTAATCTAAATTTTTTGAAAAAAAAAACTTGATGTAATCTTGAATTTAAAAAAATATTCTCATTAGATCCAAACGAATCGAAATTCATAAAATATGAGTTGTTTTATCTTTTATGCCTAATTGATATTTTTTAAAAAATATATATTTATTAATTTTTTATTATAAAATTTATCTTACTAAAAAATAAAAAATATGAAAGGCAAAAAACGGAATTAGGTGCCATGTGTACACATTTGTTGTTTTCTTCTAAAAAAATCTCTAATTCAAAAAAAAAAAGAAAAAACCTTAGAAAAGGAAAAAAAGGATAAAAAGCCAAAAAAATAAAAAAAGTTGGCGCGAGACATCGGCTATGGTAAGATTTTTTTGAAAACTTTATATAATGAATTTAAAAAATGTCGAAAAAAAAGAAGAAAAGATTGAGGAAAAAATCAACTCAAGTCATAGACACCTCGGTTAACATCTATTTTTTAAAAATCATTAATTTAAAAAATATATATATATATAAATATATTTTTAATAATAATATCAAATCCACCTTACATTTAAAATAATTAAAACATTTAAAATTATTGATTAAAGAAGATAAAAAATATAAATAATAGAGAAAAAATTAAATAGTTTGACACAAAACATATATTTAATATCAAGCGGATTCAATAAAAAATAAAATAAAAAAATAATTTACTAAATATATAAAAATAAATAAAAAAAAAAGTAAAACTAAAAATACATTCATTTGGTATTAAGTGAATCCAACACAAAAATTAAAATATAAAAATATTTATTAAATATTTAAAAAATAAAAATTAATATCCAATAAATTTTTAAAAATATAAAAAAACAGTAAAAATATTATTAAATATAAAAAATAAAAAAATCAGGTGTCACGAATCGAGATCCTGGATCTCAAAATCGCGTGGATTCGAAATTTAAATATTAATCCGTGACACTAACACATGACATCGTTTGAAATATAAAAGCAAAAAAAAAATATTTATCAACGCGTGTACCTTTTTATCTAGTATTTATACAAGATTTAACAATAAAAGTACTTTTTTATGTTTATGTTTGATTTTTAATCAAACAAATTTAATTTTAATTATTATTTTTAAAATATTATATTAAGTTAAATTTTTAAAAAAATATGTTTTTAAAAATTGGAAAGTGAAGATTTTTAATTTCATAATTTTATTAAAAAATAATAATTAAAATTGCGTTTGTTTGATTAAAAATTAAAACAAAACAAATATAATAGGACAGAGAATGTACAGAAAGGAATAAAGCTTTGACGTGACCTAAATTTGATCCATTCCTCCTTTCAAATGAGGATATAAATCAATCAATTCATGTAATTATTTTAAATTATTAATAATTAGATTTAATTAAATATTAAATTTTAATACGATATCTTTTCTGTGGTCTCTTTTTATGCAAAATCGACTCCCTCCTTTTAACGAAGACCATTGACTGGATAGAGGTCTAAGTCTTTGCAATGCCACTTTGGTAATTATCAGTCATTTCACATGGACAAAGCAAAAACAAAGCTTCTTGCTTTAAAATATTTTATTTTATTTGCCTAAACTACGGATAGACCACTGGGCCAAAGACTTGGTCTTGACAACTGCAATGTTAACCTGTCAGTCACTCGCACCAGACATTGTCTTCTCTTTTGCTTTTGATAAGCAAAGACTTTTGTATTTCGAAATGCTCAGTTCTTCCTTTGATTGATACAGTCACTCGTTAAAAATAAATAAATAATTTTCAACAAATTAAAGGTTTAATTTTTATATTTATAATTTTTTTTATTTTCACACTACCTCCTTTTTGTTAAAAGATTTTGTTTTTTCCCATGTGGTTGTCCACATGTTATAATTAAATTGTTTCATCTAAATTTTTAAAAATTTATTATAAATTAATAATACAAGTAAATAATAAAATTAAAATCAAACTTGATTAAAAATGAATAAATGCCTATGTATAATGTTACATCAAATTTATTATAATCATTCTATGTAAAGGTAATTGAAATCATGCATTATTGTTCCTCAAAATGAATTATAATTTTCAAATTATAAAATTATTTATTTTTCATTCGAACCCACATTTTATTTTTTGCTTTTGAATACAAAATTTTATTAGTAAATATTTTTATATTTTTATATTTACTAATAAAGAAAAAAGCTTGGTTTTCTATGGTGGACCTGAAAGGAATTTTTACCTTAAAAAATATTTAAATAAAGAAGTTTAAATTGGATGATAAACAAAAGATTACTCTTTTTTTGTGAAGCTGTCTTCCAGTTTTTTTTTTTTAATTTTTATTTTTACAAAAAAATTATAATTTGAAATAAAAGAAAAAATTAAAATATTTAGCCAAAAATTGAGCAACACGGTTTTGACGACTTTTGAGACAAAGTAAGTCAGATCTTATCAACAAAAAGTACAACGTTAAGTTCACGAAATATTACATTAACAAAAGTAATCGGATTGCAACCTTAATGCTATAAATGTCAAGTGCCTACTTTCAGGTCCACCATAGAAAACCAAGCTTTTTTTTTTTTTTTGGGTAACATATTGCTTACTATATGCTAGCGAAGAAGACCTGAAATTCATCACTTTGCATTCGCAGCATCTTTCCTAAGTCCTTACTCCGTAAATCATGGAAGCTCAAAATGCTGAGAGCTTTTATCTCAAGTCTACAAAGCCTGCATTTCTCTTCATATCATGCTTCCTTCTTTTGGGTTTACTTCCTCTCTCGAAGGCAAAATTGATTGATGATAATATCAATTTCACTTTCACTTCTTTCGACCCAAATGGGCATGAAATAATGTATGAACGTAATGCATATGCGTCCGACAACGTAATCCAACTCACCATCAACCAAAAAGACAAGGGTCTCAATGATAGTGTTGGTCGAGCCACGTATTACAAACCACTGCACCTTTGGGACAGTTCATCCGGGGATCTCGTACTTGCAGATTTCAGCACTCAATTCTCTTTTGCCATTGATTCCCTGAAGAACAGTTCAAAGGGTGATGGGTTGACGTTTTTCCTTGCTCCCAATGGCTCAAAAATCCCACCTCAATCTGAAGGCGGTTCATTGGGACTTCAAAGTTACGATCAGAGTGTTCACTCTGAATTTGTTGCAGTGGAGTTTGATACGTTTCACAATACTTGGGATCCCGTGGCCAGCGATCACGTGGCCATTGATCTCAACTCTGTCAATACGTCTCCTAGCTTTGCCAATTGGGGGTGGAGTGATACTGAAAATGGGGGAAAAGTTGATGCTTTCATCAGTTACAACTCTAGGACAAAAAACCTAAGTGTTTTTTTTCTCGATGCCGATGATTTCACCGGTAAAAATTCATCTAGTCTTTCTTGGATACTGGATATTAGCAAATATTTACCAGAATGGGTTAATTTTGGCTTCTCAGCAAGTACTGGATCTTTGTTTGAGATACATACTATTTACTCCTGGAATTTCAGCTCTACCTTACAAGCTGCTGCGAATACAAGCAACCAGACTAATCCTCCAACAGCAGCACCTGCAGCAGCAACGAGCCCAGCCCGTCTTCCAGACAACCCCCGAAGGAAGAGCAGGACATGGCTATGGGTTGTTCTGGGGGTTGCTGGTGGCATTTTTGCTCTGCTCCCAGTTTTGGCTTTGCTTTGGTTTTTCTGCTGGAGGAAAAAGTACGAGAGCAATGAATGTAATACTATGTCTGTTAACGTAGAAATGGAAATGGTGACAGCACCTAGGAAGTTTTCCTTCAAGGAATTGAGATTTGCAACCAGTAATTTTGCCGATGAAGGTCTGCTTGGGGAGGGGGGTTTTGGAAAGGTTTATTTAGGCTTCTTGAGGGATATGAATTGCAATATTGCAGTCAAAAGGATAACTCCACAATCTCAACAAGGGGTGAAAGAGTATGCATCAGAAATAAGAACTGTTAGCAGATTGAGACACAGGAATTTAGTCCAACTCATCGGTTGGTGCCATGACAATCAGGAGTTACTCATTGTCTATGAGTTTCTTCCAAATAAGAGCCTCGATTACCACCTATTTAGAGAACCATGCTTGTTGACATGGGAGAAGAGGTATAAGATTGCTATGGGTTTGGCCTCAGCGTTGTTTTATCTACAGGAAGAATGTGAGCAATGTGTGCTGCATCGAGACATCAAATCAAGTAACGTTCTGTTAGATTTGAGTTTCAATGCCAAGCTAGGTGACTTTGGCCTGGCTAGGCTTGTTGACCATGGACAAGGGTCACGAACAACGATTATGCTTGGAACTGATGGCTATGTAGCACCAGAATGTCTTGAGACATACAAAGCCATTAAGGAATCGGATGTATACAGCTTTGGCATTGTTGCGTTAGAAATAGCCTCCGGAAAGCAGGCTATTTCCACGATTGATAAGAATGGTAAGAAATTCAAGACTAAACTAGTGGAGTGGGTCTGGGAACTGTATGGGAGAGAGAGTATTTTTGAGGCAGCAGACCCACGATTGTCTGACAATTATGACAAGGAACAAATGGAACGCTTGCTCTTGGTCGGGCTGGCTTGTGCTCATCCAAACTATTTTGCCCGCCCATCAATAACGCAGGCTGTTGATATCCTTGGTTTCAAAGCTCAACTGCCCGTAATGCCATTGGAGATGCCAGTTCCAACATACATTGCAGCTCATCAAGCCAATATTGTTGCATCTTCTGCATCAAATTCATCCCATATCAGTGCCTCCAACAGAAGCCAAGCCCAATTTTCAGGCGCTAGTTCCAGTAGTGAGACCTTGAAGGTTCGAACAAGGACTCCAATTTCTGATGCAAAATGATCTTTTGCATAGATTATTAGGCACATTAAGCTGCAAGATAAAAACCTGTAGCATTTTCTTTGTGAACTCTGGATAGTTAATTATGTCTAATTATTTGTAGTGTTGGCTTATTCTTTTTCTTTTTGATGCCTCCTTGCATCCAAGGTTTCTCCACTTAATCGTGTATTGTTCTTTCATTCTGATTGGTGCTGAATTAGAAATATGGTGAATACTCTATGGAAGAAAATCAGGATTTTAAGTTTTTAGTCTTGTTCTTGTGTTTGTTGTGGTCAAGTCGTTAAATTATAGGAACATCCAACTTAAATTCTTAAATCTTGGAAATGTGAAAATCTCTAATGTAGCTGATACGAGATTTACCGATGAGTTAACAAAGATAAATGATCTGTGTAGGTACAGCTACATTCGGAAAATCAAGCAGGTCATGAAAGTAAAAAAAAAATAATAACAATAGAATGGGGTCATGATTATTGGGCAGGTGTCCCTCCATTACAACTAGGAAGAACGATCGGGTTATTCTTCACGCTGGATGCTAAAGACAACAGCAAAATCAGATTTAAGAATATCGAGTTCTTGGACTATTCATCAAAGAGCCGAGAGACATAGAGATCAGTATAGCCATTAAAAGAAGAAATAAAGACAGGAATTATGAATTTCATGCGAACTAGACAAATAGAAGTGTGTGGTAGCAATGAAAATCCATTCGTGGTAAAGCATTTGTGAATGTAAAGCATACTTCTTTTGTCTCGTAAATATTGTCAAGTTTGCATATTTTTAATTGTCTTAAATCTCGTTTGAAAAGTAAAAAGAAAATCATTTTTATTTTCCTTGTTACCCTTAATTATAATTACAAACATTTTTTCCCTTTTCCCAAAATATAAGAAATTCAAGTACCTTGTACTCCATCAAAGTCAAAATTCAACTTTTCTTTACACGGTATGCAACACCGAGAGAATAATATATAGTTTCTATAGGCCACGATGTGGGTAATATTTGTGCTAGCCTTTTCTGCTTGACCATGGCCACACGTTTTTGTCTATTTTCCGTACTCTCAAATTCCCAACGTCTTTCCTTGAAAATGGTTGAAGTTCTTGTATTTGGAATATTTGTTTGATAAAAAGAAAAGTGAGAAAAATATTTTAATCTAATGAATGAGTTACAAAATAACACCTGTTGTTATCCTTCGTTCTTGTTTTCTTTCTTTGTCTAAGATCTTTGCTATTCACACCAACCACATAAACATCCCTCAGTCAAGGTCCACATTCATTGCTTCAAAGTCTAACAAATTTCAGAGCGTAGAACTAGTACATTTGAAGGAAGTAATACAGCATCCTGGAATTTCTTTGGAAAATTTTGATGAATTGAAGGCAAAACATTTGAACATGCCTGTACCAAGACAGCAAATGAAAAAAAAAAAAATGATCATTCTGCATATATAATTGGACAAAAATACCAAGATCAGCCCATGGGAACACCCAATTTTAACACTTGCCTTCTAATGTCAACCACTTGTCTTAATGATAATTAATCATACACTACTATTTTTAAATACTGATTACTTGGTGGCTTATAGTAAATTAAACTTTCTAGAATACATCTCCTTGAAAAGGTATGAATTACTTTTTAAGAATCACAATGTTGATCGACCAATAAAAGAGACAAAGCACTCCGAAAACTTGATCGTCTACCTATTACCATTTAATGTGAAAAAGCCAACCTCCCTGAAGAATATGGCCATCTGCAGCTTGAAATTTGTAATGTTCTGGTTGTTGATTAAGTCTCTCCTCTTTAATATATTGACAATAACCCTTCTCTTTTGCCTTATCACTCCATTCATAAACGCCTTATCCTTCAACTTCACAAGTTTCAATACTAAAGATAACAACATTAGCTATGAGAAAGCTTACCTAGCAAATCAAGTCATTCAGCTCACAGCAGACCTCTGAGATCTTCAGATGACTGCAAGTATTGGTCGAGCCACATACTACAAACCGATGCACCTCTGGGACAAACCGTTTCCAACTAACCAAACCTGATGTTTGAAGGAGTGGCCATGCAATATCTGTTGAGCCATTGCATCTTTTTGACAAGTCCTCAGAAGTCCTGCTTACTTCACCACCCATTTCTCCTTTTTCATCAATGCACAAAACAATGAAACTTAGCTGATGGGCTTGCCTTTTTTATTGCTTCCCCTCAATACCGTAAACCGGATAGCAGATGGGAGTGGAATTGTGGGAAGCAGATATATAACTCAACTAAAAATCCATTCGTTGCTGTGGAGTTTGATACATATCATAATGATTGGGACCTTGAAAATGATCATGCCGGTACCAATATCAACCCTGTAGGGCTGCTACGCGGCATAACGGCCTCTATTTTGCCGTTTGACTCCTCCCGACACCGATATCCACCGCAATTGGAGTGCAAATTTTATTCACATACTTAGCGGTCTGTTGCGGCCGCAAAATAAGGTGATTGGGGAAAATAACGGATTTAGCGGAATGATACAGCCGCTATTGCCCCCTATTGTTTCTGTTTTTACAAAAAAAAAAAAAAAAAAGCATTATATCAAGCAATATAACTTTACCAAATTCCGGAACCGAGAAAATTCTTACATCCAAACCAATTCAACAAATTAAAGCCTCAATCAAACCAAAAGAATGAATTAATCAAAGTTTTGAACTTTAATACAAAGTAACAGGTATTGGCATAAGCATTACCATTTTTTTCTTCAAAATTTGAGTTTTGGCTTGGTGTGGTGACGCACTAAAGCTTCTCTTCTCCCTGGTCATGATAGAGATGAGAAAAAATTGGAGAGTAAACAAATTCTTGAGAGTTGAGCCACGAGCAAAGAATAAGGGGGTTTGAAACAGTAGAACAGAGATGAGAAACGAGCAAAAGGGTGGGACAATTGGTGAGTAGGCGGTTGAGTGGACGGATGAAGTGGTTATGTCACTTGTACTTTTAAGTTAAATATTAAAAAAAATTTTCTTTTAGATAAAAAATTGAGTGGAAAGAGTGAATAATTGATGGAAAAAAATCGAGAATGATTTATAAATTAAAATTTTTCTGTGAAAATTTGAGAGGGAATCGGCGGTGTGTATGAGTTTTTTTATGTATTATTATTTAAAAATTAATTAATGTGAATAATTAATATTTTGAAGTTATTAATAGATTGTTTTTGTGCGTGTTTAATTATAATTAGATCGTTAGTTGAATTATTTTTTAACTAACAAATAAAATTTATCATCATAATAATTTTAATATTTAAAATCATAACAATTCATTGTTATGTTAATGAATAATTGTTAAATATGCACATTTAATTATATAAAAAATAAATTAAAATGCCATATATTATTTTAAATATCATAAAATAAAAGTTTGTACAATTAAAAGTATTATTTATTTAATTTTATAATAAAATTAACAAAATATAAAAAAAAATTCATTATCACGATAATCGATTATTGTTTAAATTTTTTTCACAACCTCGATAAACGTGACTCGACTTGGACGTCAAACATTTTGCATGTTTCTTTCACAATCCAACAGAACCCGCAGTATGAACTTGATTTGAGAGACTACTTGTCAGAATGGGCAACTTTAGACTTTTCATCTGCGACGGAAATTTAGTATGAATTAAATATAATTCATTCATGGTATTTCGGTTCCAATTTACAGAAAGCTGGAAACAAAACTCGCACCAATTCTCATAAAAAAAAGGTAACATCAACATCGGACTGGTGGTGGTGGTTATTGCTGGTTCATGCATATTGCTTGTTGGCTTGATTTTTATTATTCTGGAATTTAGGAACAAAGGAGTTTGCTATTCAATCCATGAACAACGAATTTGAATGGGTTACAGGAGCCAAGAAGAAAACATTCGCTGAATTGGTTCAAGCAACCAATAACTTTGCAGAGGGACAGAAGCTTGGAGAGGGAGGGTTTGGTGCTTTTTACAGGGGATTTTTGAAGGATCAGACCTTTGAGGTTGCAGTTAAGAGGATATCAACAACATCTCACCAAGGCGCAAAAGAGTACGCTTCTGAAGTGAAGGTCACTAGCGGATGGAGGCATAAGAACTTGGTGGAACTAATTAGTTGGTGCCATGAAAAGAAGGAGCTACTACTTGTCTACAAGTACATGTCGAATGGCAGCTTAGATTCACATCTGTTCTGAAGAGAAAGGTTGCTAACATGGACCGAGAGGTATGCAACTGCTCAGGGCTTGGCCTCCTCGTTGCATTACTTGCATTTTGAATCAGATCCATATGTGTTACGTAGGTATATACAAGCAAGCATTGTTTTGTTGGATTCAAGTTCAATGCTGAACATGGAGATTTTGGGCTAGCTCGGATTGTAACCCATGAAAAAGCACTGCAAATCACAAAACTCTCTGGAACCTTTGGGTAAATGGCCCGAGTATGCTACAACAGGCAACGCTAGCCAGGAAACAGATGTTTACGGCTTCGGCATAGTTGCTTTAGAGATTGCTTGTCGAAGAAAGGCTACCTCGAGCAAGGAGAATGGGAATCAAATAAACATAGTGGAGTGGCTTTGGAAGGAGTTCTATGCGAGAGGAAAGCTTATGGAAGCAGCTGACCCCCGACTACAGGGGAATTTTGATGATCAAAAAATGGAACGCTTGATGATTCTTGGGTTGTGCTGTGCACACCTAGATTCCAATTTTCGGCCTTCAATGAAACAACGGATTAATATGCTTAATTTTGATGTTTCTCCGCTCCCTATCCCATTAAAAATGCTGTTTCAGATGATTTTTGTACTTCATTTAAGATTACTGTACTTTCATTTATGTCATCCTAAAGAAATGGAGAAGCTGAAGAAGAAAAGGGTATCCTTTTAGTTTTGGAATTGGGTGATAGCAACGATCATCTTCAGACTGATTCGAATTTACTTCCCCAAAAACCTGAACCTATCTTCTCACCCTGAAGTCTCCATTCCTCTCACCAGCTTCCGTCGCCGTACACTTCCTTTCCCTCCCTATAAAATCAATTACGCTTTTCCTTTATTTATTTTTTAACTTAAAATTTCCTTTCTTTTTTTTTTTAAATTTTTTTGGGTGCAGTGGCTGAAGGTGACTGGTTAAGGCTGTCATGTTTGTCTCCTTACGTATGTTTTCTCTTTTTTCTTTGCCCAACATTTTATAAAAAATTTATTCGATAAAAATTTATTTTTAATCTGTAATAATATTTTTCTTTTTAATTTACAGTCCTTAATGATTTAATAATTTTGTTTTTGTTTTTTAATTTTTAGGTGTTGCAGAATTGAAGGACAGCCAGGTAATCTTCTATACAAGTAGCAATCTTTTGTGTAGCTGGTTTTGTAGTACATACAGATTCATCCTCACTATGGAAGATTTATCTCTAAACATAGGCGTTTTACGGTGAGTCCAAATTCATTTTTATTGAATGTGTGATGCAGCTTAAGTTGATCATCACTTACAGTCTCATGTCCTTGATAAGTTGTTGCAGATGCCTCTTTGCTGAAGTTTTTAACTTTTTCAAGAACTTCTTTTGGATAGTTTTCCTTGTGAATATTCTGTTAATGATATTGCCATTATCGGCCCTGCTTCCTGGCTTTTATATACATTGCGATATTTTCCTTGCTGAAGTGCTACCC